CCGCCACCCCCTGCCTCCCCAGTGAGGTCTCCCCCAGCCCCCCCCTGCCTCCCCAGTGAGGTCTCACCCAGCCATCCCCTTCTCCTCACTTTCCCCCAAGGCCCCTGCCGATTCCCCCAGCCAGGCCAAGAAAGGAGAAGCAGAGGAGCCACTGGGACATGGCTGCTTATCCAACGCTATCCAGGACCACGTATCTAAACCAGGAAAATTACTGGTTCAGCACTAGACAAAACCAATGCTTACTCTTCCCACTGCCATGCACAGAGTGCTCAAGAACAGCTTGCTTGAATCTCTGTCACCAAAGGAACCAAAGAGGCTGGAGCTCAGCCCCATCCAAGCCTTTGGGCGTGATGCACTCGTGGAGCTGATCAAGGGGAAGAACCACCTACCCCAGCCAGCCTTCAGAGGGAACACTCTGCCTCCAGCACCGGACAAAGCGCCACAGGCACAAGGAACCACCCCTGGAGAGAGGCGGACTACCTGCACACCCCCTCTAGCTTAATCAAAGAGAGTTTCTTGCTCTGCACTGGGAGAAAATAATCATTGTCCTTCCTGCTGCTGACAGCAAAAATGAGAACAGCCTCTCGGTCTGCTGCGGAGCTGCCGTCCCCAGCGGGCCCTGGCTTTTGCCGACAGACACTGGAGCCCATGAATGGATTTGTCAGGAAGGATCCATGCCCAGACCGACTCATCAGCACTCGGGATGTGAGCTAAACTCACCAGAGCACAGCAGTCCTGCGCCTGGAGACGCAGCCTACCGCTTTCAAGTGCTCTTAATGAGAGCTGCAGGCAGCAGAGCCACAGAGACATCTTCAGGAGCTTAACAAAACCTTCGCCGTGGCAGCCCTCACCCTTCCTGGGACCGCTTGCCCCTGCACACCTCTGTCACTGTAGGGACTGTAAGTGATACAGAGCCAGCGGGGACCACTCCCTGTGTTGGGAAAAGGATGCTGTAACAATAAAAAAGCTGGTAAACTGGGATTTTTCCTGTTCCTGGAGCTCAGGGGATACAAGCGGCATGCTTGCCTCTCCTCCCCAGCTGCCTCCAGCACACACAAGGGGATTGATCTCTTCTGCCCCACAGCAAGGGGTACCAGTCACGCCTCTTTTCATGCCCTTCTCCCACACTTACCTGTCAGCATCGGTCACCAGGGCCAGGCGTCCATAATCCCAAGCAACTTTACGCAAAATTGAAAAGACAAACAACAGTGCCTGGAAGAGAGCAAAGGAGGAGCTGTGAGGTGGCCAGCTCCGTCCTTGTCCTCTGCATGCAGAGCCACAGGAACAGGGAGGGTAGGAAGGGACCGGGCTGCTCAGCTAACAGCACCCTGAGGCCACGGGACAGCCTAAGTCCCACGAGATTGTTAAAATCAGACTATCTGGATGGCTGTGGGAGGCAGAGGTCCGGGCTACAACACAGTAGCTAAGTTAGCCACAGGATCAAACGGCCCTCAGGCCTCAAGGAGGTGAGATTATGGCTACAGCATCTGTGGTCCTGCAGTTCCTGAGGAGGAACAACCGAAGCCTTTGGGTGGGTAAAGCTGCAGAGACTTGGGCACCATAAGCAGGAGTTTGGGGATGCAGGACTGACCTAACCTGACCCACGCCCTTAGGAAAATTTCCAACAGCCTTCCAGGGGCTTCGTGCGATGGCACTGGAGTTAAGTCAACCGTGGCTAAGCGACATGATTAGGGCCATGAAGTCAGCCAGCAAAGTCCGGGACGGCATTTGGGGGCCCTCTAACCATTCGACCACAGTCCTCCCTTCGGGGCTAACGAGGGGAAAAGGCGCCGAAGCCACAGCAGGCAGACTTACGAGAAAGCACATGAAGTCGAGGGCGAGGACAGTGGGCACCCCGCCGAAGGGCAGCCCCTGCAGCACAGTGCTGCGGATGCGGGCACTGTAGCAGTAGTCCTTGGTGCTGTTGTTGCATGTGGAGGCTTTGCAGGTGGCCCCTGCTGAGCCCAGGGTGGCGATCACGTAGGGAAGCATCTCTACAGCTTCATCGTCTTCCCTGGGGAAAGAGGAGAAAGGCCTGGTTAGACGCACACCAGCTGGGCGACAGCACAGCCCTCGGCCTTAGGGGCCAACCTTGCCCACGACCTCAGGCTCCTCTGCGCTACAGGATTTCCCTGGGAACTGGTGTCCAGGGATGAGGTCACCTGGAGAAGCCTGCTGAGTCTGGGGGTGCTGGAAGAGCCCGGCTGCTTCAGCAACTGTGGTCCCACCACAGCCCCAGAGCTCCCTTCCTTGTTCCCCCGACTCCCACGCCATTCAGGTGCGCCTCTTTCTCACGGACTACTCCTTTTCCTGAGGACGGAGTGTGTCAGCCCCTTCCCCTCGTCAGGGAGAACGTTTAGGTACAGGAAAGAACAAGAGGGTGGGGTGGTGGGGGCATGAAGTCACGTCTGGATGATGGAAACAAACTGCTACGGGACAGTTGCTGCATCATGATCCCACAATTTCCTCCGCCTGGCTGCGTGCCATTAGCTTTATTAGGCTGAATCACCACCCTCCACTGCAGGCCTCAGTCCCAGGGCACCCATCAAGGGCTGGTGACACCCCCTGCTTGGTTTCTGTCCTTCCTGTGACTTGGATGCATTTAGATGCAGCCACACAAAAGGGCAGGGAAGAGGCTTCTGGCTCTACTACTTAGCTGGTCGAATATTTGATTTATTTCAGTGCCCTCCTTGAATGGCTACAAGACCCGCAGCTGGGCTTGGGTCAGCATCACTGCTTGGACCCGGGGAGATCTTCCTCCTGTGCAGAGCAGCTCCGTGGGAAACACAGAGAGGACGATGCTAGCAATGGATAAGTGCAAACTGAGCATCACAGGAGGGTCTAGAAACAAGGTATTGACAGCCAAAAACACCCCGTGGAACAGGGGAGAGAAGACCCCATGAGCCGCAGAAGGGAGCGGTGACAACAGACCAGAAGATCCACCCAGGCTGCCAATCCCCAAACCACCTCTCTTATCCAGCACCCACCAACGACCCCGAATCCTTCACTCGTCCCACACCCCACGCAGAAGGGCCGGCTGGCACAGCACCACTTCTGGGCAATCCTCAGGGGCTGCTTAGCCCAGCCCAGAAACGCCATCCTGATGGACTGGGCAAAAGAGCCATCGCTCACCCAAAGCACGAGAAAGCCACCACCGCCGCCCTGCGCTGGTTTCAACCTCTTGTCCCAGAGATGCCAGCCCTGCCCTTCTGGTGACGGACGGTGACGTTAGCAGAGAGGTGGCAGCGCTCTCCCCTCCAGCTCACGGATACATCCCGGCAATCTCGTGCCTGGCTGCAGGGATTTGACAGCGTCACCGCACGGCGCTGGCTGGATGATGAGCACCAAACTGTTTGCTGCAGTGTTCTAGAGAGCCTGGCTCCAAAGTGATCCCTCCTGGCTCAGCTGGTACGGATGGACAGCTGCAAACCAGCTGAACCACCGACGGAAGAGGGCACCACGGCGAGGGAAAGCCCAGCTGGGTACAGGCACTGAAGGGGCTCAGCCAAATTGGAAAAGCCAGCAAGCAGCCTTTGAAGAGATATGCAGCGGTACAGGGCTGGAGCAGGGCTGCCGGGAGCAGAATAAGGGAGCAGAAAAGCAGAAGAAAGCGAAGGCACGAGATCATAGCTGGGAACCAACTGGGAAGCCAGGCAGGATAACTTATGCTGGCTGAATTAACGAGAAGCTTGGAAGCTCCAGGGGAAGGATGGGAAGAAACGATGGGATGAGACTCAAAGGAAGGTCACACGCTTTGGAGCATGAATGGTTACGCTCCTCTGTTTTTCCCTCCAAAGTGCCAGTCTAGATGGACTCACTGCAAAGAGAAATACCTCTCATTCCTCTCTTTGGGAATCCTGTAAGCTTTTAGGTTGTAAATGGCATCCTGCAGCAATGAGTTCCAGATACTGAGTAAAAGACTATGATCCCACTGCAGCTCCACAGCCTTCATTTCTCCTTGCACAGTGAGAAAAGGGAAAGAGTAAGAGTCTTTGCTTTTTCTAGACCCAAGCTCACTACTAAGTGCCCTCTCTTCCCCATGACATGAGGGGTCTTCCAGCTCTAACCACTCTCACCACACATCCCCAATACATCCTCTCTTCTGACCCTAAGGCAAGGTGACCAGAACTGCATAGAATATCCTGGGCAGGGCAGTGACCTTCACTGCCAGAACAGCATCCTGGAGCTCTCAGCATCGCTCCTCACGCTACTCCTCGTGCGGGTGAGCGTGATTCGACGGCATCTTTGCGTATTGAGGAAAAGCATCCCCGTAACCACCAGCAACGCTGCTGCCCTGAGCAGCCACAGGAATTTAAAAAGCCAGCCACGTCCCAGAACAAGTCATTCCTTCCCATACACCCATGCTTCCCAGCACCCGCTTCCCCATCGCCTCACACCGCTTTGCTTCATGCTGTGTCACTCCAGTCACTTCGTCTTGACAAATCCAAACGACTCCCGGGGTATCAGCAGATTTTGCCTACTTTGTTAGCTCTTCTGGGTCGTTAACAGCGAAGGGCCTCATCCCTCTGCTTTTCTCACACTGAAGTTGCTCATTCACTCCTAGGCTTTGTTTGTGGACCTTCAACCAGCTTCTGATCCAGGACTCTACACCTCCTCCAGCGGACAGTTTTCTTAACACACTTGTGAGGAATGTCAGAGGTTTTCCGAACACCCAAGCAAGTTACACAAGCTGGTCAAATATTACCTATTATTTTAGCAAAGTACTGAAAGACTTGCAACAGATCAGTGAAGTATGATTTTCTTCTGCAGACACTAAACTGTTTACCTCATCCCTGTATGTTTTATAGCCCCATTTGCCGGTTGCCTTTCTAAGAGAAACGAGGCTCACACACTCACATTGCCCATTACCCTATCATAATCATTATTTATACAAACCATTACGTATTCAAGACACACTTTGCAAGCCTAGGGGTAATTTAAGCCACATTTCACAGAGACAGGTCCCAGAAATGTTTTTGTTTTTTTTTTTTTCCCCCTGAAGCCTAGAGGATAGACTGGAAGGGCCTGGAGATAAACCTTCCTAGCCTCTGCAGGAACCTAGCCAGAACACCCAGTATAGGAAAAGCCACCCAAGGCTTACACTGCCTTTTCATCAGCCCAGCCAGGCGGCACAGCAGCAGGCAGCACCATCTTCAGGTACGCAACCTCCCACCCGGCTGGTAAGCACAAGAAGGGGTTCCTCATGGAGACAGAGGTGCCTCAGGCGCGTGGGAAGGCTGGGGAAGCTTGCAGGGATGTCTGGAGCACTTCTGCCCTGCCAGCTCCCGCAGCTGCGGGCACATCCAGCAGCAGGCTGGAGGCGACCCGCCGTCACATTACTTCAGGTCAGACCCACCAAGGCGCCCAGCTTCTTCTGGGGTTACAACACGAATCGAGCAACTAAGAAAAAGCTCGGTGGCCACCTCTGCAGGCTCGATCAACAGCGCCCGCCCGAGCACCCTTTGTCCACTGACCCTTCCCAGAAGCTTATGGGCTGAGCAGGAGGCTGCTGGCTCTTGCCAGGCACAGCGCAACCCACGGGCCTGGCAATACCTCTGTCCTCACGCTGGGTTGGCACCTTGGCTCCAGACTGCCAGCTCCAGGGGGACCCCCAACCTGGCAGGGCGTGCTGCAACAGGTCCCGTGCTGCAAGGTGCAGCAGGGCTGGTCCTGGAGGCAGCCAACGCTGGGTGCAGTGGCCGAAGCAAAGCACAGGCAGGGGGGAAAGGCTGTGCTGTACCAGGACAGGGTTAAAAGTGCCTTTCCTGGTCCCTCCTTCCCCTTGAGGACTGCAGGCTCCCGCTGGGCCGAGATGCTAACATCAGCAGGAGCTCCTGCAAGAGAGCCAAGGCACAGCCAGTTGGGGGGGGAAGCTGTTGCAAGGGCTGGGGCGGTGGGAACCAGCACGAGGTGTCCAAGCCCTTTCCTGACCGCGAGCACGGCTTCCCACCACAGCACACAGCAGGGCCAAGGGGGCACGAAGAGCAGGACATCAGACGAGGTCCCGTGCAAGCCCCAGAGCCCTCCTCTCCTGCGCTCTGCGCATTTAATGCGGACTTCCTCAAAACAGCAAGGACAGCACAGAACGACTTGCCAAAAGGCATTTTCAGCTCTTATTCAGCAAGACTGGACTCCATCCCCTTCCCTGCGAGCAGCGGGAAAGGGGGGGAGGGAGGCACGGCAGTGCCTCTGCTTCCCCCATCCCAAGAGAAGCCTGCTCCCTGCCCTGCACCACAGCCTCTGCATCCCCGGCAGGACCTGCGTGTCCACACTGCCCCCTGTTTCCCACCCCAGGCGTCGGGAGCAGAGGCATCCCGCTTCCTAGCTGCATCTCTAAAGCACGTCCCGCTGGGTGCTGCGGCGCACGCAGCCCCCAGTCCAGCTCCCACCTGCTCAGCCCTGCGCCAACGCAGCCCTTGGAAGCGCCGCTCCGGAGGGCTTGGAAGACCCAGCGGGGCAGGGGCTCTCCTCGTCTTCCTTGCCTTTGTCCTTGGCCTGCGGGTCAGCACAGCTCAATGGGTTTTCCTCTCGGATGAGCAATCCTGTAGGAGCCAAGCAATCCGCCACGCTCCCATCCGTCCAAAAAAAAAAAGGAAGGCAGCACGAGGCTGGGAAAGGTCAGGATGACACACCTTGGCCTTTCCATGGCCGTGCCTCTGCCTGCAGAGCGTGCACCAGGATGCTCACGGAGTCATCTCACAGTCTTGGGCAGGGGGTGACACCCGGCAGAGGCCCGAGGGGTTCTTGCAGGGCAGGGGGCCAGGAGGCGCCCGCCGAGGGGGCTGCCCGCCCCACGCTGAACTCTGCCGTGGCACAGCGTGGCCAGGGCACGCAATAAAAATAGCGCTGCAGGCCCTCCCAAACAGAGCACCTCCCAGTCCCCTTGCCAGAGACACCCTGGAGGCCTCTGCCCCTCGCACCCAGCGCTTGCATCCTCTGCCAGACCCCTGGCACCAGCAGGAAAGGAGACAGACAAAGCACTCGGGCAGGAG